TTATTAGTCAGGATTTTTTTGGGTGTATAGAAGTTCAACTCTGAAGTAGCTTAAACAAAAAAAGGAATTTACTAGCTAATATAACTGATAAGCTTCAGACATAGCTGAATCCAGCGGCTCCAATCACATCGTTAAAACTTGGCTTTTGTCAAAATTTCTTCCACAGTATTGCCTTCCTCCAGGATGGAAGAGGGGAAGGGAGATGGTTATAAGTAGCTTACATCATTTCTACGGGTTATGATCCAAAAGGAAGAGGCATCCCACTCCCAGCATTCCCAGAGTGAATCTTGGGGAAGATCCAATTGATCCCCTTGGTTTGTATACCCGTCTTTCTGGGGGTACTGAAGAGGGACGTAGCATGGGTAATAGTCCCACCATGATCACATAAAGTGAGGCAGTGTGGTCCTCAAAGAAAAAGTGGGGATGGATGGGAAGCAGATATGCACTGCACCAAGGCCAGGTCATTACTGAAGGTAGGGCTAGGACTAGAAAGTAGAATCTCAGTCCTGAAGTTCTGGAGGTTACAGTGAGGAAGTGACATAGGTAAGCTTAAACCAAGAATAGTTGGAGTCTCTTAAAGGAATATAAGGTAGAAATGAAGATAAAGCTCTGAAACAATGTTAAGTCAAATGACCATTTTTCCTTTGAGAAATATATGGATATTGTAAAACACAATTCTGTTATTGCTAATGAAAGGTCCCCACAATTCTATAATATAGTGTAGAAGTGGATTGAAAGGCATGCTTTCTGTGTTCTTGCTCCTTGTTTTCTTCCTGTCACAGTGGAGTATAACAATAATAAAAAGACAGAAAACTTCTTTAAGTTTCTAGATGGATAAAATATATTAAAGTATGAAGAAAGTGAATGATTATGGTAATAACTAGAGTTTTATTGAACAGTTAACATGTGCCAGGCACTGTAGAAAATGCATAACCTCATTTAAATATGATGTCTATCCTGAGTTAGGAAGTGTTAGTCTGCTTATTTGCAGGTCAGGGAATCAAAGCTGCGAGGCATGAGTAATTTTCCCCAGCTCCTGATTATTAGAGCTGGGATTCCACTTTGAGTATATCTGATTTCAGGGTCTGTGTTCTCATCATTATGCTTATAATTATAATTAGTTACAGCTTTAGTTCATTTAATTGTGCAACTTGGCCATTTTACAAACAAAATTATTACTTGTGGTACATTGTGTTTTGTCCTGTGTAAAATAAAGTGTACTTGAAGTTGGCTTTGTCTCCTTCTCTTCTCCCTCCCCATGAGTGACACAGGGCCCTTATTCCTGCCTTGATCCATTGGTGACACCTAGGGCCTCTCACTGCTCTGTAGGGAACTAGACCATCTAAACATTTTAAATCTCGAGCAATAATTATACACATTAATCACATGGAAATCCATGGATAACCTATAACCCTTGAGGCACATCTGAAAATGTAACTATATTATTTAAATTGTGATCCAAGAAATGTCACTGCTGAGGGTGTTTCCTGTGTAGATAAATGTGGCTCCAAGGAATGTAATACCAAAGCCCCTTGTCTACACTAGCTGTGTACATACTCCTTTTATTTTTTTTTCCTGAGAACAACTCTTGCCTCAGGTTTTTTCAGTTCTTTCCTCTCAACCCACACTCAGCTTCATGTGCCTTCCATCTTCCACACACAAATTGTGCTAGTTTACCTGTTTTACCCGCACAGGTGTTTTCCTCCTCTACCAGTTGATAACTGGTTTGACCACACATCTGCATTTTCTCTTAGCCCTTCTTTAGCACTAGTCAGCTATCATTTGAGTCTATGTCTACATGGCCAGCCCGCCAGTAGATTCATGATAAGCTCAGCCTTGGTATCTGGTGAATGCTTTCATCAGATAGTGATGGACAGTGTTTTGTCATTAGATAATGGCTTTTCAAGTGGCTACAATGTATTTCTTGTTATATTATCTACAATAGCAGTCTCCAAACTTTTTTGATCATTCATTCCCATTACTATGTTCTTGGGGAGCAATTCTTTTTTTTTTTTAATGAAGAAAAAGTAAGATTTATTGAAAGTACAATTTAGAAGGATACAGGCCACACTAAGGAAGGTTGCAGCCATGTGGAATTTAGCAGTTGAAGAGATAAAACAATATGCCCCAAAGGCAGGGGTGGGTTTCCAGCCAGGAATGCTATAACCGTTGGGGAGCTATTCTTAACCAAATACATGTATATTTATTTATAAAGTATACACATTTGCTACCATCCTTAGCTTATAACTCTCTCTCTCTACATATAATATGTTAGGGTGAAGTTCATTGTTAATGACAGTGGATATAAATCTACATTCTAAATAACCTTCTTGATGAACTTGACTTTCTTTTAGCCAAAATTTGGATTTAGTAGATTAACTTTGAAATGTGGCTGTGAAAGATCTGATATTTTAAGTGTCAGTTCTGTCATTTGCTTGTTTTCCTTTGATTTCTTTGCAAAAGACTCTGGTAAAGTCAATTGTCTATTTTTTATGGGTTAATTAAACCTAGGTAATATAATCAGTAAATCCACTTAACTGAATCTAGCAAACTGCAGTGTCACTATATGTTAGCAGGGATGACTGGGTGGGATCAACACTGGGTAACTCCCATTTTTCCTTTCTATTCTAGGCCAAGAGACCAGTCCATGGACTGAGTGCAAGGTTACTCATTCTGTATATAAAATATTAGTTAAGCTTAATGCTTTTTTAAATTTGTATTAAGCATAAATGGATGTCCTCATATTTTCTTCTCCTGCATTCCAAATGGATTGCCTATTTCTGGGGTACACACAACCCTGGGACACATGGACCTCCTTTAGAAACGATTGGTTCAAGGAACAGTTTCTCACATAGAAAAGGATGTTTCGATTTAAAAAGATCTGCTCATTTCAGTTACTCAGCCATTTTACAGAAAGTTTTGAAATGAATTGTCTTTATAGAAATCCATTATTTGCAAGCAAAATCCCCACTCTACAAAATGTGAAATGTTCTAAGCAACAGCTGTGAGTACTTGAAGCATGCTCTACTCTTTAACGGTTTAACTGTTGCCAAGGAAAATTTAGTTAGCTTTAGAATCTTCCTTGGTTTTAATTCTGCATTTACCCTCAACCAGAGATTGAGCAAGTTAAGTTCTTTGTGGCTGGGACACTGAAGTTTTCATGAAGACTGGTACAAGAACTTGAGATATGGAAATGTAACTTTCTTGAATGTAAGGAGACTGGTATTGTATCCAGTTTTATAGGGCCTAGTGGTGATGAACTTTATCAGAGCAAAAAATGGGCACTATTATTCAGTGGCCAATCATCTGGAGTCTGTAGGGGGAGCCTGTTTTCATCCATGAGAGCCATCTTTTCCTATTTCTCATTTCAGTTCAAAACAGGAATATTTTTTCTTTCATGACACATAAAAAAATTTTTTTCCCACTCAAGCCATTTCCGGGAGTGTGCATAGAAATCTGCAACACTTTAGTGTTAACACAAACAAGAGTAAAGCAATGCATTTTTTGCCATTACTTGTGCATATGGCAAGGTTTTATTTATACATAGTTCTATTTCCTAACTGTATAAAAAATATGGCCTATACCGAGGGGATAAACTAGGCTACAGAACGATACACACTGTCTTAAAAGAAAAAAACTTGGAAGTACACTAAAATGCGAACAGTGGTTGACGGGTTATGAATGTTAATTTTTTTCCTTGCCTCTTTTTTCACTTACCGAGTTTTGAACAATTGGGACCCTGACATTTGCAGTTAGCCTTAAGAAGTTTCTTCCTTTTTCTTGCTCCCACTCCCCCCAAGTACCCGCAAAAGACGTATGTAGCGTGCCTTCAAATTGAGCTGCAGTCCAAGAATATTTTCTGGAAATGCATCATTTGGCCTGAGGCTCACCAAGGATGCCAACACATCTCTATAAATATTTTATCACTTGTTCTAGCTAGAGTTAAAAGTCAAGGTTTCACCACAAACTCTTTCGGATCTACCC